GGGAGTAAGGACCATTAGGGGAGTGGGGGGGAGTAAGGACCACTAAGGGGGAGAAGGACCACCAAAGGGGGGTAAGGAGGGAGGACCACTAAGGGAGGGGGAGGGTAATGACCACTGAGGGGGGGGGATTACCACTAAGGGGGTGGGGGGAGGAGGGGAAGGTCTACTAAGGGGTTTGGGAGAGGGAGGACCACTAAGGGAAGGGATGGAGGACCACTAAGGGAGAGAGGGGGGAGTGAGAAGACCACCAAGGGGGGACTGCAGAGGGACAGGGGGCCAAGGGAGAGCACTAAGGGACAGAAGGGGTAGAACATGGAGGGACAGGAGAGAAGGGGAAATCAATAATTGACAGGAGGGGAGAGCACTATGAAAATGTAAAAAAAAAATAAAGAGCTGTTCCCCTCTCAGTCCCTATCCTACCCCACAAACCCTCTCTTTTACACTACACACAAACACAATGCATTCCCCCCCTACACACACACACACACAGAAACATACAATGCATTCCTACTCACACACAGACACACCCGAAACACACAATGCATCCCTTACGTTCACACAAACACTCATTCTCTTACACACAGAAACAAAATGCATCTCTTACACAATCAATGCACCCCTTACAGACACACACTGCATTCAATTAAATACACAGAAACACACCTTGCACCCCTTACACACACAGAAACATACAATGCATTCCTTACACGCAAACACACACTGCATCCCCTATAAACACACTACATCCCTTACAGAAATTGGTATCCCTATACACTACATTCTATAAGAACACACACACATTGCATCCTCTACAATAACACATAAAACATCCCTTACACACATACACTACACTTCCTGTGAGAGAACTCATGGGTGGGCCATGTAGGTATTTATGGGTGGGCATTGTAGGCATACTCATGGTCAAGCCCTGGGGGCCCAGACCTTGAGCTGTGTAAGGGGCCCTAAAAATGGAGCTGCTTCCTGTTCGTTAATTGTTGTGAGCACTGTTAAAAACAGTCTCCAGAGAGCCTCTTCTACACCAGACCTGTGGAGCCAGACTGAGCCCATCATCAGCCTCTTGTCCTCATCTGGTGGTAAGTAGGCAATCCAATATATTATTAGTGGCACTAATCTCACATTAAATGGATACTATAGTCACCAGAAGCACTACAGCATAATGTAGTGGTTCTGGTGTCTATAGCCTGTGCCTGTATGCTTTTTAATGTAAACACACTGTCTTTTCAGATAAAAGACACTTTGTGAAGACTGGCGTTGGCCCATATGGGCGGGGCATTGTGATGTTACATGGTGGGCAGGACATTGGGGGGAGCGGCAAATTTTTATTTGCCTAGGGCGGCAAAAATCCTTGCACCGGCCCTGACTGCATCAAATGAACCATGATCGGGGCTATGTACCGTCAAATCTTGTGTAAGAACCTCCTTCCCTCAGCCAGGGCATTGAAAATGGGTCGTGGATGGGTATTCCAGCATGACAATGACCCAAAACACACAGCTAAGGCAACAAAGGAATGGCTCAAGAAGAAGCACATTAAGGTCCTGGAGTGGCCTAGCCAGTCTCCAGACCTTAATTCAATAGAAAATTTGTGAAGGGAGCTGAAAGTTTGAGTTGCCAAATGTCAGCCTCAAAAGCTTAATGACTTGGAGAGGATCTGCAAAGAGGAGTGGGACAATATCCCTCCTGAGATGTGTGCAAACCTGGTGGCCAACTACAAGAAACATCTGACCTCTGTGATTGCCAACAAGGGTTCTGCCACCAAGTACTAAGTCGAGGGGTCAAATACTTATTTCACTTATTGACATGCAAAACAATTTATAACTTTTCTGACATGCGTTTTTCTGGATTTATTTTTGTTATTCTGTCCCTCACTGTTAAAATACACCTACCATTAAAATTATAGACTGATCATTTCTTTGTCAGTGGGCAAATGTTCAAAATCGGCAGGGGATCAAATACTGTTTCCCTTCACTGTATGCTTTCAAAGGAGAGGACTTATCAGGAGTAAAATGTGTATATTTCATCATACAGTGTCCTCAACAAACATTTATCATACATATTTATGAAATTAAATGCTTATATTAAATTTACACGTTACTGCACATGGATGCCTCTTAATATAGACTTTGGAGGTGAAAAGGTTGTGGTAAAGGGACTCTGTAGGCACTGTAACTGCTATTATAGTGTTTGGTTATAGTCTCTGGAGTCCCCTGGCATTGTCGTTCCACTCGGTTTTAACCTGTGCTAAATGTTGTAATGCTAAATGATACACAATTAGGGGGAGTGGGTTTTGTTAATTGCTTTCATTGTTTCCCCTGTAAGTATTAAGTATCTGATGTCTTTTCTTAACAACTTTACCTATTGTCTGGTGTACCTGGAATTGAATTACCTGTTTTAAATTAGGCTCTCTATTGTTTGATATTTGCCATGTTCTAACTGATTTCATTGTCCCCTGGGCCTCTCATGTCCCTGATTGGTCACTGTTGTTTATGTGTTATTTGGAGAACTGCTATATATTCTGCCTATGAGCCGGAATAAAGGGTGGTCATGATTTACCAACAAGGAGATTGTGTGTCTCTTGAAGCGTCCAAGTAGATTGCTGTTTGTCGTGCACAATAGAGTAGTTATTCATAGAGAATTGCCAGTGGACTAGATACATAGAATGTCCTACATGAACTGTGCAGTAAATCCTGTATTGGATACATGTCTCAAAGTACCGGGCCTCAGTGCTTAGTATAGCGGTTAGCTGTGCAGGTTAGCAAAATAAATATATAGATGATAATTTGCCTGAACTGCTACACCTTCCATAGCAGAGTTGCCAGGACAGTATCATCGCAGATATCATTTATATCATAAATCAAATTATCATTACACTTACGTAATGACTCATGACCGGGTCTCACTCTTTTCTAGAGGAAAATATAAAGAGTAACAGATGTCACACTTAATCCCAGTGTGCTGGTAACGCATCTAATGAAGGCATCAGTATAACAACCACAAAACCAAAATGTGCTGTAGAGGAGATATTTAATATTTCCTTAAGCAATAATTGTATATTATTTATATCTATGATATATTATTTATTCATTGCATAACTAGATGTATTAACTTATGGCAGGATCCTTTGATCTCACATATAAAGAGTGTACCTTGTAATTTCATTGTAGTCTGTCACATACAAAAAACTGGAAATATTTAACGAACCACCACCCCAACATATAGCTTTTAATGATATTAGAAGCTTGAAAAGGCCACACGAGATATGAAAAATAAAAAAAATAAAATGAGGACATAAATTTGAATTGAGTACAGTAGGTCTGACAGCACTCCTGTTGGGCTATTAAGAAAGTATCTGGGCACACACTAGGTGTGTCCTGCTGCTTATTTATTTACTTTCTCTGTCTCCCCCTTCCCCATATTTCAGTTTAGTTCAATTATTTTGTATTTATTAGTGCCATTCTCCTATTGCAAATGTTTTTTTTTTTTTATTGGACTTCTTTATTAACTACCTCTACTTAAATTATAAACATTATAACTATGTATAGTAAATGAATATTAAACAAATTAAAATTGCAAAGTCCTACCGTTCTGTAAATCGCAAAATCTGTAACATTGTTCTGATTGGTCACATATCTTCTATTTACTCTTATGAATAGACCAGCAGCACTAACCAATAATTAAGAATGACTTTCCTAGTTTATATTTAAATTAACTATGGTTACCAACACATTACCATACACAACATTAGTAAAGTGTACTGGAGAGAAATTTTGAATACACAAATGACCACAGTATAAATATTTCAAACCTGATGAAGAGAACTCTGTAAATAAATCTTTCTTTGTTTGAGGATGTCCATTTGAATCAACATCCATGATGGACCTCCACAATTCACTGAATCTGGTTCTTTTGTCCTTTGCCATGTAGGATCCATGCCACAGAGCTTTAATCATATAATCCACACTGATTAGTATCTGCCCCACTCTGGTATCATAATAGGCTGGAGGGAGTTGGCATGATGTACTGCGGTCATAATTGGCATCTAAACTAATGGATGGAATCTGATTAAAGCAATATATTCCTATAGTCAGCTCTCTTATTATCTGGTGAACCTCACGACAGTCTAACTTGACATCAGGTTCTAGAGGAGCCAGTAGAAGAACATTTTCTTGGGTTAGATTGTTTATCTGGGTAATCAAACCTCCAGGGAGCTGAAGAGGCAGGTGGACATCATCCATAGATACAAGCCAGCTATTAGTGGTATTGGCAAGAAGCTCTTGTATTTCACTTCGGTCAAATTTATCAAAGAAGTCTTGTGCATTCCTCTGAATTGCCATTTCTGCCATGAAATCATTATCCTGGACTAGAATTGTTGATGGTGTTTTTTTTCCAGATTTCGACATTTTCACTTGGATATTTTATAAATGTTTAAATATAAATAATAACAAGTAATCCAGTATTCCAGTATCAAATATTTGAGTATTTATTAGCATAACATTAGTAATCCATTAATTCAGGCTCTTGGTGCTTGCTTTTTCTTCCTAAAGGCTCCACCACAGTCATCTAAAAAAATATAATATATTAAAATAGTTATTAAAATAGTTTAATCAAGTGACTTTATACAGTTTATTTGTTAAAAGACACAATCACCCAAGGTCCTCTTGGATGGGTGTTACTTGCATGCTATCAGCAAGTGTCTGCGATAGTGTTGTTTACTCCATAGTAGTGCACAAAAAGAAAAAAGTCTTGGCAGAACAGTCCATGTTTTAAATAGAAGCAATGCCATAATGTTATTAATGTTAATAACAGTTGACAGGAATTCTAAGTGACATTAAACTAAATTCAACTTGGCTGAGCATACGATATGTGTGATAATGGTAGCCAGGGAAGAGCAAATATGATGGCCTTTATTTAGGTACAATACTCACATTTCTGTGTATGGATGATACTTACACTGACAATAAATGAATGGATTTTATAGATGAAGGCTGTTGGTGTTTGATGATGTTAGCCGAGGAGTGTGGTGAAGGAAGCATGGTAAAGGAGTAAAGGTAAGTAAATATCTTTTAAACCGTCACTGGAATGGTGGCAGCCACCTATTGGTAGGGTAATTTTTATATTCTTAACGCTATAGTGTACCTTTAATACTCTGTTTCCTGTTATACCATTGCTATGACCTGCATATATTATAGCAGGATTTCCAACAGTCCTGATTTCGGTGGGATAGCCCAGATTTAGTTCCCTGGTACTCTGCATCCAGGGACACCAGGGAGCTGCCCATGGGCAGCATTAGGACGTAAAAGACGTACTTGTGCTGTGTACAAACACTAGGACCCTACAAAATTCAGCAGGTTGGGGATCAGTTAGACAGGATCCTTCAGCTGGTGAGACCAACCCCTTCAAGCCTTCAGCGGATTAGACAAGCTATTTTTCTCGGGTCCACCCTTTATGGCCATGATGCAAGTTATGCCACTGGCGATGCCCACTCTCAGGCCTTCCCACCCATTCTGATCTTATACCTCCCATTCTTGGGAGGTATGTGAAGATATGATCAGCCCAAAATATATCAGTGGGCCAGTCCAGACCTGCAGAACATTGAATGCAGGCTGCTAGCCAAAGCACAAACCTGTAAAGTATTGTGCTTTCAAGTCCTGAAGAATGCCATCTGGTGCATCACTACTGCACTCCCAGCACACCTACCAGTGCTTTTAATTAGCAGAAGTAGAAGCAGCCAGCAGCCCTGCCCACCCATCAACTCTGCCCTGCTGCTAGCTAAATCATATGTTAAGTCTAATTGAGTTCTGCCTAAGATTAGCTAAATTACAGTCAAGTAGCCCCAGAATTTTGCTACCAATCATTTTTCAAGTTAGATAAGCTTCAATCCATTTTCATTTAAAAAAAAAGTAGTAAAAAGAAAAAGGTGAAGTAAGACTATGAACTATGCAGTCCCAATTCCATCCACCCACTGTGTAAACTGAACTTTTAATGCTTTAAAGCATCCCTACATTGGCTTCGTGTAAGATATAGGGCTCAATTTAAAATTCTGGTTCTTGCTTTCAAATCTCTACATAATGCAGCTCTCACCTATCTATCCTTCCTAATACACAAGTATGTCCCATCTAGGCCCTTATGCTCTGCTGAAGACTTACGTCTATCTTCTGTCCATACTCCCACCCATGATGCTCGCCTTCAAGACTTCTCGAGGGATGCACCGTTCCTGTGGAACTTCCCTCCTCCGTTAGATTTTCACCCAGTCTCCACTCCTTCAAAAAATCATTAAAAACCCACTTCTTCATAAAAGCATATCAATTAAACTGTTAATAGCTCCCGACTGATTCCTCTCTTGCAACTGTCATTAGTCTAATACTATCCCTACCTTTTGTGTAACTTTACCCCACTCCCTCTAGCATGTAAGCTCATTGAGCAGGGCCCTCAACCCCTCTGTTCCTGTGTGTCCAACTTGTCTGGTTACAACTACATGTCTGCTCGTCCACCCACTGTAAAGCGTTGCAGAATTTGTTGGCGCTATATAAATAATAACATAATAATAATAAAGGATCGCTCCAATCAAAAACTACAATTTTAATAAAAACCTTTCTGAGGGGGACTGTGATCCACCCCCCATCTTTAAAAAAATAATAAAAAATTACTGATTCCAAATTGCTCCCTCCTGATGATCCTCCTTGGCTAATGTCACTCTTCCTCATCAGAGGGAGTGGGAGATCAGGAAGTACAGACTAAGGGGCGCGCAGGAGAGAGGGGGGCTTGCTGCCATTCTCTGTCTCCATTCTTTGCGTGCTGGCGTCAGACTCCATTTACACCTCTGGAAGCTAAGGGCTGATATATCTGTATTTGCAGTGTTTCAAGATACAGTCAACAGGCACCATCACCACTTTAAATCACTGATGTGGTCAGGGTGCTTGGAATAACCCTTTAAAAGCAGCAATGTAGTAATATTTACAAATATCTTTGAAGGTACAGAAGGTGGGTGTTTTGCCATCACCAATGGCAAGCATGCCCACTCTCAAAGGAAGCATGTTGGTTCAATGCTCTTCCAGGGCAGACTATGCGCAGAGCTCTGCTGAAGAGCTCTAGCATGAGAAAAAGGCCCTTTATTTGTTCTGTGCAGCGCAAGCATTTTTATTAACATGCTTGTGCTGTGTTTGCTTGTAACTTGTCTCTGGTGTCTCCATAAGTGGGATACCAGGAGACAATAGGGCCAGGAAAGGGTATTGTGCATGTGTTTGGAGCCTGCTTGTGGGATTGCGTGTGTGTAGAGTGAGCTGATTGTGGTGTGATATTGTGTAAATAGGTCGGTTTCAGTTGTGTTGTGTTTGTGGGGTAATGTGTGGCTAGGGGTTGTAAAGAGTAAGAGCATAGTGGGGAGCATAGTGTGTATGGAGGTTGTAGAGTGTTTTTGTTTAGGGGATGTAGTATGTGTTTGCTTACAAGGAATCTAGTCTGTGCATAGGAGATCCAGAGTTTGTATATCGGAAATGTAGTGTGTGTGTGTGTGAAGGGGATCTATTGTGTTTAAATGACCCAGAGCATGAATAGGGGATCTAGTGTGTGTTTGTGTGCATAGAGGATTCAAAATGTATATAGGGATTTAGTGTGTGTAGATGATCCAGAGTTGTGTAAGGGATCTAGTGTGTGTCTGGAATGGAATGTGTGTATGAGGGGTGCTGTGCGTGTGGGTGCTGTGTGTGTGTGTGTGAGGGTGTTGTGTGTTAGGGGTGCAGTGTGCTAGGGTGTGGTTTGTGTGTGTGTGAGGTTTTAGTGTGTGAGTGTGAGGGGTGCTGCGTGTGAGGGGTGCTGCGTGTGTGAGGTTGTTGCGTGTGAGGGGTGCTGCATGTGAGGGGTGCTGTGTGTGTGAGAGAGGGTGCTGTGTGTGTTAGGGGTGCTGTGTGTGTGAGAGAGGGTGCTGAGTGGGGGGGGAGGGAGGGGGAAATATTAATATAACTATATATGTTTTTGTTTTAATTACAGGGATACTCCAGGTACCCAGACCACTTCCACTCACTCCACTTCCGCCTTCTCCCATCACCCTTGACCCTGCAAGTGTAATTATTGCAGTTTTTATAAACTGCAATAATTAGCTTGCAGGGTTAAATCCTCCTCTGGTGTGTGTGTGTGTAAATATGTGAAATATGTGTGTAAATATATGACTTCCGGGTTCTTAAAACACAAAAAGTGTTTTAAAAGACGCTGGACGTCCTCCAGCGTCGCTGAAATCCCCGTAGGAAAGCATTGCATAATGCTTTCCTATGGGGAGGTCTAATGCGCGCGGCCATTTCCGAGCGTACATATTAGTTCTCCCCTGCCGGCTGACGTCGGCAGGCAAGGAGTGTGGGCGGAGCCTGACCCAGCGCCGAGGGACATCGGCGCTGTATTCAGGTAAGGTACTGAAGGGGTTTTAACCCATTCAACAACATGATATAGGGTGTGGGAGGGATGGGGGCACTGCAGGATCCTGCAATGCCAGGAAAATGGGTTTGTTTTCCTGGCACTGGAGAGTCCCTTTAAAAAAGCACTGTATCCCCCCTCCCTTTTTACCTTATGCCTGGGAGGGGGTCCGTGCTGTCATCACTGTTGGACCTAGTGGTGAGAGTGAACTAAGGTAAGTAAACTGCAAGGATAGAGTTCACTCTCGCGAGATCGGAGCATTGCCATGGTAATCGTGTCAACGCTCCGACCTCGCAAGAGGAACCTGGCGGAGCAGCAAAGCCAGGGTCCTCTCTCCTCTTCCTGCCCCCCACCGCATTTCTTTGATCTCCCCACAGGCCCATGAAGGCACACAGCAGGGCCGGCGCTTGTGCATGGGCCGGCAGGGGAGATCTTTTGATCTCCCCTGTCGGCCTTGGCCCATGGCCATCGCAGCCCACCGGGCATTTGCTTGGTATGCCCGATGGCCAGTCCAGGCCTGGAACCAAATCTCGCATGCGCTAGAGAGCAGGTCTATGTTCAGGGGAATTCCCCTGAACATAGACCAGTTCACTAGCACAGGAAATCCTTCAAATCTATGTTCTGGGGAAATTCCCCAAACATAGACCAGCTTTCTAAAGTGGGCAATCCCTCGAATGTATGTTTGAGGGAATTCCTGAGACTCAGAATCGGAGGATATCCGTTGCTAGAGAGCTGGTCGTATGACCAAGCAGTCGGTAACATGTAAGTCAATAAGTGTGGACTACCTGTTTTTCATTATGCTGGTGGTATTTTTTTTTTTTTTTTAATTAATCTAGGCTTTTTATTTTTACCTTTTCATAACTAGTTTTACCCCGTTTGTCCTTTCACGTGTATAGATGCCCCTCAATTATGAGGGGATTTTGTATGAATGATGTTGTAATGATATTGATGTTACAAAGTTTTGGAGTCCAGTAGCCAGATCAGCAATGTTTTCTGC